GACATCCTTTCCTGAGGAAAATGTCTCTTCATACCTGCTCCCGTTACCTCCCAACGGCCAGTGGCTCCATCACGGCTGCTGGGAGCGAGTGGAAAGTAGGTTTTTAGATTCGCGACCAAAGGCAAATCGAGCCGGGCCACCGCTGCCCAGGCCGGGGACTCCTCAGGCTGGGGGCTGCCGTCCCCTCCACTCGCTCAGGAGAGCAGGGAAGGCATCGGCAGCGCGATGTCCCCTCAGCTCATCCCCAAATGCCCTGGCGAGCCCCTGGAGTGGAGCCAGGCCTTTGGCTGCCTCCTCGTTGCCTCGCCCTTGGCAGCGGCCAAGTCGTCATGCCCGGCCTTTGGTCTGCTGCCTTCTCCCAGCGCTGGCTGCGACGACGCCCTTGGCCGGAGCAGCGCTACCTGAATCCAGGCCTTTCCATGTCTCTCGGGACTCGGCTGAGGGCGGCTGTCCTCGCATCACCCCAAAAGCCTGCTGTAAGTGTAGAAGTGATAAGAGCAGTCAGCTGGCTGGGAGGGGAGACGAGGGAGGAGGATGTTGTGTGGGGAAAGCTGAGGGTCTCTGCCTCTCAACCTGCAGAGCCCTGTGCCGGTCAGAGCTTCCCCTTGGACTAACCGGTCTTAACAGCAAGGTGAGGAGCAGACCCAGGCTGTAGGTGAGTCACAGAGAACGAGGGCTCACCTAGCAGGATTTGCAGAGACCTTCCGTGGGGCACGGGAACTGCTGAATAATGGAAATAATGGCATGGGGAAAGACTTTGTTGTTTTCTAACATGGGGCTGGAGGAATTACTGGCAACAAAATAGTGCCCAGAGCTGCAGTGTCCAGGTAGTTTTCCAGGCCAGCTCGGTGTTTGCTGTGACTCAGATCCTGCTTGAACCCAGGGCTGGCGGCAGCAGCAGGTAAAAGAGAGGGACTCTGTCTGTTTGGTTAGATATGAAAGAAAATAAGCCTTTCTGAAGACACAGTGCCACCCAGCATAGGTCCTGCTTTGCTGTCAGCTCAGTAATATGGTGCAGGGCTGATATTAGCAGCACTGAAAGGATGTGAGAACAACTACTGTCTTTTAAGAGAAGTTTAAACAGCTAGAAAAAAGCCCTGTCTTCCCTCGTCTCTGTCTGGGGCCTTTGAAATCTCTTCAAACCATTAAAGCTGCCTAGATTAATCCATCAGCCAGGATTAATCTGTAAAATAAATATCCCTTTCAAGTCACTAAAGTGGTATTTCAATCAGAAGCAGCAGTGATGTCCCATTTTAACTTAACTGCAGGTAGTAAAGGTCGCTCTGCCGTCCCACAGCCAGACACTGGAATAATGTGAACACGTGCTTCAAATCGGAGTCTGTCAAAGGTGCCCACAGGGGACAGGCAGGATCCCACGGACATCAGTGTGAGTCCAAAACTTCTCATGGCTCCATTGTAGTTGTATGAAGTGTAGTGCAGCTAGAAGACCGCTGTTTTATCCCGGAACAACTTCCTCTCTTGGCTCCTGAGTGGGGTGGACAGGGGATGGAGAAAGCCAGCTGCATTGCTGGGCTTTCCACAAGGAGTTAAGAAGGCTCTTGGAGATCAGTTTGCCCAGCTGTGATGCTGGGCTCCACACCAGGCCCACGGGAGCTGCTGATGCTGGTGTCACCTCTCTAAGAAGGAGTCTGGAGCCCCTGAAAGGGGGTTGAGCAGTTTTATGGACAGAAACAGTGGCTTGCTGCAGACACTGTGCTTATTTCTGTAAAAAAAGGCCAAAATCGAGGCAGTCTGGGGAGCAGAAGGGATGGGGCAGATCCTCAGCGCAGCCCGGCGGGAGCTGACACCCAGGTCATGAGGCCAAACCCTCCTGCCCCGGCAGGTTGCAGAGCTCAGCGTGGGGACCAGTCTCAGCGTGGGGCAGCGGGACGGCCACCCCTCTCCAGGGCAAGTCCTGCTTCTCTTTGGGTTTGTTTGGCAGCAAGGAGGTTCTTGCAGTGTCATATCTCGGAGAGATGCAGGTTTGAGGGATCAGGACGGAAGGCCTGGAAAAACATTTTCCTTTCCTGGGAAATTCCAATATTTGACTTATACTTTCACTTCAAATCCAGCTGAAAACCTGAAACTGCGAATTTTCTTGGGGAATAGATAGTCTGAGCAAAATGCATGTTTGGAAACATGGAAGTGTTTCTGCTCTGAAAGGGTAAATCCCAGTTCCTTTTCCCAATCCAGAGCTGGGTGTCAGAAACCATTTTGTATCCAAACACAGAGAGAGAGAGCGGCATTTGTGTCCCAGTTTTAGAAGGACTGATGCCTGCTCCAGGATATGACACTGTGATAGATGAACCCTCAGTGGTGTAAATTGGGGTAGCCCCGTGAAACACCGCAATACCAGGGATGGCTCAAGTGCCTGGGACTTTTCTCCTGAATCCTCCTGGCTTCTGCGCAAAGCCAGGAGAGAGAAGGATCTGCAGGCGTCTGCATCATCCCTGCTCCCTCTGCTCTCCCCGGCCAGCTGAGCTCGGCCGGGCTGCCACTGCTGCTCTCCCCCTCGGACTCAGCCCTGAATTCTCTTTCCTGACTTTTACTAAACTTTTCCCTTCTCCATATTTTTGCTGAAGTCTCGTCATGCCCCCCTTCTTCTTTGCCCAGTACTAAATATGAGCTGATTACTCAGTTCCAAGAAACCCGATCTTTATGGCCAAGTGTAATAAACAGGACCCAGACATGTGAGCGCAGTAACAGCTATTTCTGGTCAGCAGATTTGTTCCCTCATAGACTGGCTGCTCTGAGCTCCCTCGCAGGAGCTGAAGTCACCGCTGAGTTTCAAGCCGGAATTTGGGAACAGTCAAAAGCTGGATTTTAGTTGTTGGGTTTTTTTTTCCTCTTTCATCTGCACTCTGACCTGGTCACCCCAAAGGGCAGCCAGCCCCACTGGTTACCCAGCAGGGCCTTGTCATGCCCAAGGGACTGAGAGGGAAATGAACACCCTTTTCTGTGCAGTCCTGCGATGCTGGGGTTCACCTCACCTCGCTGCTGCGCGGGATCCTCTGTCCGAGCTGCTGGGACTTGATTCACCTCATCTGGCGTGCGCTTGAGTCAGGCGAAACACACCCTGCGATCGCCGCCTCGCTCTGCCTGGAGTCTGTGTCACCCCAGACAGCGGAGCTGTCAGCGGGGCCGAGCACAGCCCCACACCCCAGCAACCAGTCAGTCCTCATAGTTTCCCAAGGCAACCACCCAAAATCCCCAGTCCTTTTTTCACACAGCAAAAGTGCAGGTACTGGCTGAGAGTTGAGGATCTCCTCTCGCAGTCATGGCCCTCCATGCCTTTAACACAGCTCAGAGGGGTACAGGGCTTGGGGGGCAGTTTCCATCCTTCCCTTGGCCTGACCCAAACGAGATGTGAGTCAGTGGGAGTTTTTCCTTTGCTTAACTGAATGTCTTAACAAGCAGGACACCCGTATCCCTGCTACAAGGCTCCTCACCTCTCCTTTCTCACCAGGTCCTGTTCCAATCCTGCCAAGATGGCACCCAAAAAGAAAAGCCCCAAGAAGCCCAAGGTGGATAAAGAGGCTGCATCCATCACCCCGGTGCTGGTGGAAGATGCTTTGCTCAATGTTGAACACCTCAATCACTTGAATAGTTTGTACGACGGTGGCTCCAACGGCTTCCACTGCACGGCCACGGAGGTTGAAGCACCAGACCATGGAGCCAGCCTTCTGGAGGGGATGAACCAGATGCGCCAGAAGCGGTTCCTCTGCGATCTCACCATTGCCACCAAAACCAAGTCCTTCAAGGTGCACAAACTCATCCTGGCTTCCTGCAGTGAGTACCTCCACCACCTGCTGCAGAGAGACCCTCAGCTGCAGCGGGTGGAGCTCCGCGACGTGTCCCCACTGGGCCTGACCACTGTCATCACCTACGCCTACACGGGGAAGCTGAGCCTCTCGCTGTACACCATCGGCAGCACCATCGCCGCGGCCACCCAGCTGCAGGTGCCAACACTGCTGAACGTGTGCAGCAACTTCCTCATTCGGGAGATGGCCGTGGAGAACTGCGTGTACATCGCCAACATCTCGTCCACCTATGGCCTCAACCAGGTGAAAGATGCCACCCGGAAATTCATCCGGGAAAACTTCCTGGAGTTCTCCAACACCGACCAGTTCATGAAACTCCCCTTTGATCAGATCAATGAGCTGCTGATGGATGATGGCCTGCAGATACCCAGTGAGGTTGCAGCCTTCCAGATCGCTGTCAAGTGGCTGGAGTTTGACCCAAAACGGGTTCGATACAGTGCCGACCTCCTGAGCAACATTCGATTCGGCACAATCTCAGCTCCAGACTTGGTCAACCATGTGCAGCCTGTGCCACGCATGATGCAGGATCCGCAGTGCCACAAGCTCCTCGTGGATGCTATGAATTACCACCTGCTCCCCCACCAGCAAAACAGCCTTCAGTCTCGGAGAACCAGGATTCGGGGAGGCCAAAGGGTGCTTGTCACAGTTGGGGGTCGTCCAGCTTTGACTGAGAAGGCTCTTAGCAGGGACATCAGCTACAGGGACACAGAGGGAAACTGGAACAAGCTGACAGAGATGCCAGCAAAAAGCTTTAACCAGTGCGTGGTGGTGATGGATGGATTCATCTACATCGCGGGTGGTGAAGACCAAAACGATGCCAGGAACCAGGCCAAGCATGCCGTCAGCAGCCTGAGCAGGTAAGACAGGCTCCACTTGGCCACGCAGACCTTAGGGGGGGTTCAGAGCTGTGCTGTGTCTGCCTGTGCCCCAGCACCCACCATGGGGTGAGGGATGAGGGCGTCAGAAAGGTTCCTCTTCGCTGTCAGTAAGCCAGAGGTAGGTCTGGCCTCTGGAATAACGCTGCCAGGGAGGGACCAACGCAGCGAGGCCCAGCTCAGGGTGCCCAACTGCGAGACACAAGACCTGGAAACCACTTCCAGGGATTTGGTCTGCGTGACCCCAGCCTGGGCTTCCCCTGGGGAGTTTGGCGCCTGGGCTGTGCTGCCCACATCCTCCAGCAGCACACAGCATCCGTGCAGAAGGAGGGCAAGGCAGGGCCTCTTCAAAGCTGCAAGGCTCCTGGAGAAACGGGAGCCCTTGTTATTTAGCAGTGACCCATTTTTTTACTCTGGAGAGCTGCCCTTTTCGCCCGCTGGCTGGTCCTCCAGCCAGTGCCAGCCTCGGCCCCGTCTCTGGTTTGTCTGGATTCATTTTAAGGTAGATTCACTGTCTGTAGGATTCGTGTTGCCCTTCAGGCTTTCTTCTCTCCGCCTCCCTTTTTCTCTTCATTATTTAAATGACAAGGTTTGTTTCCTAAATCCCCATAAGCCTGTCACAGGATTGCTGAGGGATTACTATTCAAAGAAAAGAGGAGTAACCATGGCAACCAGACATGCAGTATTTTGTTTGCAGCCTAAACCTGAACTTCCCGGTGGCTCTGCCCACAGCTTGGCTCAGGCACCTGAGGCTCTACACACAACGTGGCCGGCACTGCTCGAGGCCAGCCATTCGCAGCCCATGATCACCACGGGTAGGAGCCATCATTGGGCTCTTTCCCCTGCACTGAGTGAGGTTTCAGGGACCCACTGGCAGGGCTTTTTTCTTTTTTTGGGTCTCCTTTCTGTTTCTGGCCAGTAGTTTATCCGCTTTTCCCAGCCTGGCCTCAGTCCCTGTGGCATTGCTCTGGGGACGCAGCAGTTCCAGTTCCCTCTGCTGTCTCGTGGGCACACAAGCAGGTGGCTTCTTATCACGTGCCTGGCTTTGGCCTGGCAGGGTGGGCAGGAAAGACCTGCCCCTAGGTCCTCTTTTACCTGCCAAGACCCAACAGAGGGGACAGTGACAGTGCTTGGGGACACCTCAAATCGGTAGCACTCACCATTTCCAAACTGGGCTGGAGGTTGTGGTGGCAGGAGCAATGCTGGGCTGCCCCAAGGGTTAGAGCGGCAACAACCCCAGCAGTCACAGGTGGGATCCAGTCCTGTGTAGTGCCGTCATCTCCATCGGCACTGCCTGTTCAGATGCTTTTTTACTGCTGGAGAAGACGGAGAGGCTCTTGCAGAGCACAGGTTGTCTCCTCTGCAGGCAGATGTCTGGCAGGCCCCACTTCTCCCCACAGCTCTGATGCTGGTCCTGCACAGACAGACCTGCCCTTCGTCCTGCAGGTACGACCCGCGCTTCAACACCTGGCTGCACCTGGCCAGCATGCAGCACAGGAGGACGCACTTCAGCCTGAGCGCCTGCAACGGGCTCCTCTACGCTGTCGGAGGGCGCAACGCCGAGGGCGCGCTGGCATCTGTCGAGTGCTACGTCCCCACCGCCAACAGCTGGCAGAGCAAGGCAAGCCTGGAGACACCCCGCTGCTGCCACGCCACCACTGTCATCGGCGGGAACCCCCGGCGGCTACATCAGCCATGCCTATTCCCGCACCGTGTGCTGCTACGAGCCCGGCACCGACGCCTGGAGGGAGCAGGCAAGGCTCAGCACGCCCCGGGGTTGGCACTGTGCGGCCACTGTGGCCGACCGGGCCTATGTGCTGGGTGGGAGCCAGCTGGATCCCCAGGGCGAGCGGGTGGATGTGATGCCCGTGGAGTGCTACAGCCCACTCACGGGGCAGTGGAGTTACATGGCACCCTTGCCCACGGGGGTCAGCACGGCGGGGGGGGGTCTGCTGGGGGGGGGCCCGGGGCGCCTGTGCCTGGTGGGTGGCTGGAACGAGAGTGGGAAGAGGTATCAGAAATGTGTGCAGTGCTACAATCCTGACCTCAACGAGTGGGCCGAGGACGAGGACCTCCCCGAGGCCACCGTGGGTGTCTCGTGCTGCACCATCACCCTCCCACGCTCCCTGAGCTCCAGGTCGCGGGCCAGCTCTGTGGCCTCGGCAGCAGCCAGCACGTAAAGAGCCCTGGGTGCCACGTGGCTTATGCCAGCAGTTAGGGAAGGAGACAGAGCTGAGGAGCATGGGGTAGCTGGATGGGGAGGCACACTGATGCCTGGAGTCACTGCAAAATCTCAAACGCTGGTTCCATCGTGACAAGTTTTGGGCTCTAGCAAAGTGTCTTCTCAGCTGCCTGCATCTCCATCCCACAGCTTAAGCAGGGATTCCTCAAGTGGGGCAGATGTGGGAGCAAGCAGGACAGAAGAGCTTTTCTCCTCAGCCTGCGACACTGTATTGCAGTGTGGACTGGAAAAAAAGAAGAAAAACCCACCAGAATAACGCAGGAGAATTCTACTGTAGGTGTAGTATCATGAGACACTTTCAAAACAACAGTAGTGTTGGTAGTAGGTACAAGAAGGTGACAGGTCTAGAACAGGCCCTGTTGCTCACGTAGCATTTGTTCAAGGGAAAGACATTTAATATTTACTCACTGAAGCTCAATGCCTTCAGACCAGGAGTAAGGTGAATCTTGATAGCAAGGAAGAGAACTATTGGAGCAACTGTCCAAGATCTCTTGCTCTTCCAAGTGCTGTGCGGTAGCTCAAGCAGAGGGAATGGGGGAAGCGCCTGAGGATGCTATGAGACTCCAGGAGATTGGAGAAGCAGCTAGTGCCCTGAAAATAAGTATCAGCTGGAACAGAAGCCCTTCACATCTAAACCAGGAGCCCTCACAGATGTATTCCTAGCCAGGTCCCGTTACTGGTACCATCAGGCTGACAGCCTGAACTCAGTGCTTCCCCACTACTGTAAAAGCAGAGTCTGACCTGTAAAAGAAGCGACCAGGAAACCTGAGTTTCCAGGGGCAAGCACTTGTTCAGTGCCTGGGGTCCCTCCCTGTCACCGTGCCTGAGTGAGACAGCTACCAGTCTCTATAAAACCCCAGCTGCCCTCTCAGAGGGAGCGCAGACCCCCTTGTAGCACTGCAGCAGTCATGCTCTTGGGCTGAGTCCGTCAGGACAAACCACACCGCAGCACTCCAAACCCTGCCCGGTGGGTCTGAGGTACAGCCCCAGGGCAGGAGGCAAGCGAGACCAGGGGTTATTCCCGTCTCAAACCCACAGTCACTACAAGACATCACACAACAGTCACAAGCTGAGGCCAGCACCTTCTGCTAACAGGTCCTGTTACTGGAACACATTTACACATGATCTTAGACGGGCTCATCACCTTCAGCCCAAGGCAGCTGAACATCTCCTCAAACGCTCTTGGGTTTGTTCTGGTCTTTTTTGCGCAATGCAGTGAAATCACATCCAGGAAGACAAGCAGCTGCTCAAGGGACCCCAATGTGCCCCAAGGACACCAAGACAAGAACTTCAGCAGAGCAGGCCGGTTTTCTCTTCCTTTCACAACTCACCAAAACTGAGCAGGTTGCAGTAGTTACAAGCTGTTGATCTTTCTGTAAGAATTCATGATCTCAATTAAGAGTTCACATCAAACATGAAGCTAGACCGAGGCAGAATGTAATTTCTGTTCAAATTCTGCTTTCCTCTGTGCATTTTAGCATGCACAGCACACACTGGCCTGTGTTTTTGGAGTGGGTTCCATCCTGAACAGCACTGGCAACCTCCCCCGATTTAGTTCCAAACAGGAACATTGTAGTCTTTGAGACTCCACCAACGGTGGAGTGTGTGCAGATTCAGATGGAAGTCAGTTTGTTCCTTGATTTTTTTATTATAACTTCTAACGTCAGATGCAGGAGAGGACTGAATGGATGCTAGAGGCAGAGGCAAGGGTGTTGCTGAACTCCGCTTATGTGAGCTGTATTGTCCTGCAGGGAATTTTGTCTTTGAACAATAAAGGCCACTCCTTTGCAGGGGAAAACTGTCTGGCTGTGTAATTACAGCAGTGTCACACTCCTGAAATTTTAACAAACCGGTGAAGATTCATCATCTGCATTCTAAGCACATCCGATAATTGCTTCATGATTTCTACAGCACATTAAGAGCACTGCGATCTGTGGGTAGAAACAGCTTTACCAGGTACAGGCCCTCGAGGTCACTCACGCTACCCACTGAGGCGGCGTGGATCTGGGGGTTCTGCTGGCTGACCTCAGCCCCTTCTTGTGGCACCAGGTTTGAATCTCGGCTCAGGAGCCTCGCCAGTCCCCCAACACTGCCAGCACCACCTTACTCATCCCCTTCCACCAGTTCTGTCATGCTTGCTCAGGCAAAGGGCCCTCAGCCACATTTTGGCTTTATGGCTCTGCTTTATTGTGCACTACTTCCTTTGGCTCCCCATTTGGGAGAGCCCCCACAAAACACACAACAGAAGTTAGGGGTTACAAAAATTTTATTTGCTTTTTTGGTAACAGGAACTGCTTATTTACCAGGGAGGATGATGCCATCGTACTGTGGGGGGGAAAAAAAAAAAAAGTGAAAGAGCCAAGTGAGAAAGTACCATCAGGTAAAGGTGCAGTACTGCTGCGCAGAAAACTGAGTCACCACGTTCATTCAAAGCCAGCCAGCCAGCACTGACATGAAACACTGTGAGCAGCTAACTGCCCTACTTCGCTGCTGTGCTATTAACTTCCAAGCGGGGCTTTGTTCAGATAAGCATCAACTCTGCTCACCAGCCCAGCGAAACAAGAAGCTCCACCCTTCACAGCTCGATCTGACCAGAACTACACTCATCTCTTTCACAGGCCCCGGATTTGGCCCCTGAAAGTAGCTACGCCACAGTAAGCACAACCAGGCATGAGGGAAGAACAAAGCCATTCAGCAAGAGCAGGCTGGAACCTGCCTCGTGAAGGGTATGACTGGTGTAGGTCTAGGCAGAGCAGCCAGTAAGGAGCCTCCAGACAGACCGTGCACCCTTTCCACCTCTGAAAATCATCAGCAGTCCCCATCTTTGAGCATTTCCAGTCAAGCTTTCAGCATCTCCCATTCATTACCCAGCCTGTGGCAGAGCACACTATGCACAGATAAACCCAAGAACTTGTTCTATTTGGATCACTTCATCCTTCAAGTCTGGCAGCCGAGCTAGGACCTGTGTCAGATAAACACACCCCAACCCTGCCTCATCCCTAGTGATATGCATACACTAACACCTCCAAAAACTGGGAGACAGATTTACACAAAAGCCAATACTGCCAGCTATCCTGCAACAGCTGCTCTTTCAGTTCACCACAAAAAAAGGGGCATCAACAGCACTCATGCTCAAACGCAGCTTCTACTGCCCCAGAGCAGGAAACATCAATGATTTAAGCAGCAATCAAGATCTCCTCCTGCCCAGTGACTTGTTCCACCCCTTCCACAGTGAAGCATTTTGCTGATACTTGCTACGAAACTCCTAGGATACAAAAATAAAGATAGACTTTACCTTTTGCTGAAACCAGCGCATGGCTTCTTCCTTTCCAATTCTGTGCTTGGCTCCGATGTTGCCAGTCCTGCGCTTCTTGTCAGCAATGCTGAAACCAGGCCTGCCCAGCACCTGCCAGGAGAGAAGACCCACAGCACTGTTTCATTCTGGCATTTATTTATTTTCTTAAACTTAACAGTTTTCTAGGAGGGAAGGATAGAATTTCCACATCAGTAATATCTCGTTATCTTCTACAGCCTGAATATAAACTGAAAACTAAGTAACTTCTAGGCAGCCAGGTAAACTGACAGGGACAGCTCCTAGGTTGGACAACTTAGCACGTATGCTTCTCAGAAACCAAAATGAGTGCGGAAGACACACTATTCCATACCCAGAGGCGTCAGCGCTTGAGAAAAGATGTTTTGAACAGCATTGCTAGCATGTATGGAGTGAGGCACAGCAGAACAGAAGACTCAAACACACCAGCCACCACCGCTGCCACACAACCCACCCCCAGCCCTCTACACACAGGGAGAATCTTCCAGCAATGCAGCCCGTCTTTCAGTCTGCATTCCTGAAGCCCCCGCCACTCATTCCTTCCTTCCCCAAACCTAGCACAGATGCTTCAGTGTTATCCCAGGAGTACCAGTAAAAGCAACAGTATTTGTTTCTGAATAGACTTTGTGAGACATGTCCTAAATCGAGGATTTTACAGCAGCCCTGAGAATCTCAGACTTGGATTTTGTTGACATTTTTCCATCTTCCAGCACTGGGCAACAAGTTCATGTGAGCCAGTTAACATTCCAGGTTCCTTCTAGAGCTCTCACACAAGCCCAGAAGCTGCAAGGAAGCAGGGAATACCCACCACATAAAAGTCCAAGCCGTAGATACCAATACTGGGATCGTATTTAATCCCCAGATCGATGTGCTCCTGGATTCCAAAACCAAAGTTCCCGGTGTCTGAGAAGTTGTTTTTTCTCAACTCGTATTCTCGCACCTGAAACATTTGTTGTCAGTCACTATTTCATTATTGACTGCAAACAGAGTAAGAAGTCTTGTGTGTTCCAACAGCTACCAGACCCACAACTCGCTTACACGCCTCGAAATATTTAGCCCCAAAGATTTTGCTCCCAGAGCCTGCTCATAAACCACAGCAGCAAAGACAGAACCTCAAAAGAAAGCAGCAGCTGCACCCACCAGCTCTTAAATAAGGATGAAGCAGCATCCAGGTAGAGAAACAGGGCAAACTCAGCAGCCTGTGTATCAAAGCTGCCCTGCCAACCCATAACATCCACGACTGACCTGTGACTAGATCACGTGCCGCATTTCAACGCGCACATCTTTTCAGTTGGTACGGATTGAGTTTTGCTATTTCACAAATCAAAGACCCAGCCCAGTCAGATTCTCACCTTCAACCCCTTCTCCAGAATCTCCTCTGCTTTGGCCCCGCGAACTGTGCAATGGACAGCAATCTTCTCGTTTCTCCTGATTCCAAAGGATCTTACAGTGTATCGCGCTGTAGGCAGCAATAATTACACTTAGAGGCTATTCAGAGAATTCCCACCTGTGAGATTCAGAACTTGCTTAAGACGACCAAAGAAATTACTTTAAAGGACAGAAAAAAGAACGAAGGCAACCACACATTCCCTTTTTGGGGACAAGGGCAGAGGAGCAGCCCAAGTCTGGAGGCAGAACTGAACAGACAGAAACGACCACCAGTACCCAAACGTTAAAGCCCCCAAATCCCACAACAAGGCCGACATCAGAGCAGACCTCCCAACACTGGCTCTGCCAGGGAGCCA